ATTATTTTATATATATATTATTCAAATTATTATTATATTAAATTAAATTTAATTGAGATTAATTTATGAATAAGAAATTCATATATATATATATAATTGATAAAATATTAAATGATAATGAAATTTCGATATTTATATAATTTATATTATAAAATTATTTTTCATAAAATAAAAATTTATTTTTTATAAATTATATTATATTCTTGTAAAAAATTTATTTATTATATTCTTGTATAAATTGAATATCATTTTAAAATTGATGTTCAAATTAATGTTTATTACTTTCAGTATGACATGTAATCATAACCACGTGTTGTGACAGTGATAAATTGAATTTAAGAGTTTTATGAGAATAATAGTATTAACTAATAATTAAATTTAATTGGATCAAAATTATAAAATTTGTACAGATATATACATATCACGGTAATGTTTGAAAATGATATATTATAAATATATATAAGGACATTATAATATAACCTATATACTTGCCGGTTACATTGTTTATTTATAAATCATAAATTATAAATAATTTATAAATTTTTTATTTGTGTATATATTATAGTTAATATATTTATATGACTTTATATTTATTATATTTAAATTTGTAATATAATATTATTTATTATGAATTAATATCAAAATTTGTTAAATTATAAAATTTGCTTTTATTTTTTAATTAATATTTCATAAATTATTTGCAAGTATTTTTTTATTATTATATTTTTATAGATGCTCAAATATCATGAACCAGTATCAGCATTTGCAATGTATGCTATGAAACGCAAAAATACAGAATCATCATCGAATTCAAAAAAATTAAAAAGAAAACATAGTTCTCTTCAAGATAAAAAAGTAGTTTCAATTGGTGATACAAAATTTAAAATACAAGAAAAGACAAAACAAATATCCATACATAAAAATGTTCAAGGAACAAATAAAGTTTCAATAAATAAAATTCCAAATATAAATAAAAAAAAGAATTTAATATCTAAAAAAACTAATTCATCTATAATTTCTAAGAAAAATAAATTAATTAAAAAACCAATACATAAAAGAAAAAATAAGAATATAATCTTAATTTCTGGTTCAAAGAAAGTTGAACCAAAGAAAAAATTAAAAAATTCTGTTTTAATGGTGAATAGAGCTCTTGCAAAAATGAAACAAATTAAACAAAAACAAATTAGAAAAACAAGAATAATAAAAAGAACCATTCAAGAAACTACTTCTTATTCTAATTGTGAAACATCTGAAGAAAATCATGAGAATCCTGTAAAAACAAGTCGTTCAATGTTTGAATGGTTAATATATCCTATGAAAATAGAGGAGTTTTTTGAGTGAGTTCAAAATAATTAAATTTTTCTAAATCATATGTATTTATAAGTCTCTATATTAATAAGGAATATGTGTTATTTTCTTCTAGAAAGAATTGGGAGAAAACACCTGTTCATATAAAAAGGAATTTTCCTAAATATTATAAATTACTTATATCTACTCCAATGTTAGATAAAATATTAAGAGAGTCCTATATTTTATTTACAAAAAATATTGATATTACTTCATATGAAAATGGTATAAGGGAAACTCATAATCCAATCGGTCGTGCAGTTCCAACTGTTGTTTGGGATTATTATATGAATGGATGTTCTGTTCGAATGTTAAATCCGCAAACATATATACCAAAATTACATTCATTAAATGGTATTTATTTTTCTGAAATAAATAATTATTAAACAAAAATATTTTCAAGTAAAAATATCAAAATGATTTTAGCTATATTTTTAAATATATTTTCTAATTCATTATTATTAAGATTAATAGGATTTATTATTTTCAGCTACACTTCAAGAATTCTTTGGTTGCTTTATTGGTGCAAATTCTTATTTAACACCACCTAATAGTCAAGGTTTTGCACCACATTATGATGATATTGAGGCTTTTATATTACAAATTGAAGGTAAAAAGAGATGGAGATTGTATAAACCACGAAACCAGAATGAATATTTGCCAAGGTATTCTTCAGAAAATTTTTCACAATTTGAGATTGGAGAACCTATACTAGATACAATTGTAAACGAAGGAGATTTATTATATTTTCCACGAGGAACAATTCATCAAGGTGAAACTATTGATAATACACATAGTCTTCATATTACATTAAGTGTTTATCAGAAAAATAGTTGGGGTGATTTTTTGGAAAAATTACTTCCAAATGCATTAACAGCTGCTATAAAAGAAGACTATGAATTTCGAAAAGGATTACCTATTGATTATTTAAGATATTGTGGATATGTACATTCTGAGATTCAAAATAATTGCAAAGATAAATTCAAAGAAAAAATAAAACATTTACTTAGTAAATTAATAGATTATATTGACATTGATGAAACTGCAGATTTAATGGCAAAAAATCATATTCATGATTTTTTACCACCTGTTCTTTCTGAAAGCGAACGGGAATGTTCTGTTACTCAAGATGGTGAAAAAATGATTGAAAATGGAATTGTTAATAATAGAGTAGAAATAGAACCTGATACTAGATTTCGGTTAGCAAGATCTCATTGTATAAGGTATGACTCAATACAAATTAGTGATGTATATAATTTTGAATTTTGAATTCATCATTATAAAAAATTAATTTTTTTACAATTATACAATATTCAAAAATCATATGCAAAAAATTATAAAATCATATAATATTTTAATATTTATATTTTATTTTTATATTTTTTTTTAGATTTATATTTAAATTCATAATTTTAATTAAATTTATATATTTAATATGAATATTATTTTTATTATAGATTAATTAAAGAGAATGAATCATTTAAAATATATTATTCAAGTGAAAATTCTAAAGAATATCATGAGTATGAATCACAATTTTTAGAAGTTAGTGAAGAATTTATACCTGCTATTCGAAAAATGATATTGCAATATCCTAATTTTATACGTGTAGAAGACTTGCCAATTAATGGTGAAGACAATAAGGTAAATATAGAAATATAATAATTATTTTAAAGTAACATTATAATATATTACATTATTTTTATATAACAAATTAATATTCTATAAATTATTTTTATTTCATAGATACAAATAGTCAAAGATCTTTGGGAAAAATGTCTTATAGTAACAGACAATCCATTATGTATATTGGAATAATTGTATATTTTAAGTAATTTGTACAAAAATTAAAAAAAAAAAATAAATATTGAAAGTCAAAATTCTTAAAAGTATTATTATTAACTTAATTTTAATATTTTATAAAAAGAATTAATTAATTCTTTATAAAAAAAATAATAAATATATAATATAATTATATATAATAAATACATAAATATATAAAATAATTTGACATAACAATATAAAACATATAAAAATAATATAAAATACAAAATAATACTATAACATAAAATATATTGCTTTATATAAGATTGTTTATATATTTATACAAAATTACACATATCATAATAATTTTCATAATTGTAAGGATTTTTAATATGAATAAAATATTAGTAAAATATAATTAATAAAAATAGAAAGTTATATTACAATTTATTGATTATAATTTTAGAAATGAGTAATAAATTATTGTATAGTATATGAAAAATATGAATATGAATGAATATGAAAAAATATATATATTTAAAAAAATATTTATATTATTCTTTCTTTTATAATATCATTTAAAAATATTGTACGAAAGAAAAAATTAATTTTCATAAAACTTTGAATGTAGATTGAATTATTTGAATATAGAATAAAATATCCAAGGAACAATTTTTTTTAACATTTTGAAGAAAGAATTATTTTGAACAAAGTTGATTTATAATATTTTTTGTTTTTAATGCTAAGATAATAAATCACAAATAATGATTTTAAGTTTTCAAATANTATATATATATATATATATATATATATAAATGCAAGATTATAATATTTATTACATAATTTATCACATTTATCACATAATTTATCACATAAGCTATTCTGGAATATTTTATCTGATTTAGAATTTAATTATTTCTAAAAATTTATTTAAAAGATAAAGTTATTTTTAAAAAAAGCTGAGTATACAATTATTTAGATAATAAATATCTTTTCAAATAAAAAAAAAAAAAAACGAATAAAATAAATAACTTGCTATATCACATTAAAATTACTTGTATTAAAATTTATAGTTTTTATACATTTCAGTAGAAGACAATAAATAATTCGAATTTAAAAAAAAATTTGTTTCACATAAATTTTAGACATAAATTTATATGTTACAGTAGTATTTTGTAATACATTTTATTTATTAAGAATTTTTTGAATTAGATATATTTTTATTTGTCCGATTTGTTATTTCGTTTTGCTTGAGCAATGTGATCTCTTTGTCTTCCAAGAACATATTCGATATATCCAATGTATCCATCATGATCCACGTCATCTTCTCTGAGTACTCTATCCACAAGTTCTTCATAACAGAAACAAATATTACTTTTTATTCTTTATATTGTATTTGTATTTACATAAATTTTAATTTAATTACAAATATTTAATTGAAATTGTTTAATAAAATTTAATAATTATTTTGATATTTTATTTTCATATATTATCTAAATTATATTCGTTAAACTCATTTTATGGTATTTAAAAAAAAAAAATAATTTAAAAGATACAAAATGGAAAATATCTAAAAAAAATGTATTATAGTGTTTATAATGTATTATATTTTATACTACTTTAGGATTATTACATATTATTCATATAAGATTTATTTTTAATCACATTTAAATGCAAATAAAAAAATTTTTGCTGTAATCAAAAAATATTAGACTTTTATACATTTAAAATATTACTTTTCTTTTTTTCTATTTAAAAAAATAAAATTTAATTATATATTATTTTTTATAATATTTACATAATTAATTTTGTTTAGATATGATAATAATTTTATATATACAAGGAAATAAAAATTTTGTTTAAGAAATTTAAAATAATTTTTATATTTACAATAAAGGAGAGAAACAAATATTTATAAAATTTCATAGAATATTTACAAAATTTATTGAAAACATTTTGAAAAAATTAAAAAGAATAATTACGTTTAATAAATGTTTTAATAATGTTAATTTTTAATAAATGTTGATTTTAAAATTTAAATTTGTCTTTAAATATTAATTTTTTAATTGAAATAAATTATAGCAAACATAATTATTCCAGCAATATAGAAAATTTTTAAACACATATAAACTTAAATTTTTAAATGTAATAAAAAAGAAAAACTAATATTATACTTTAATATATACTATAATAATAATTTTAATATTATAGATGGAATTTTGTAATAGATAAATCTGAATTTTAAAAATCTGAATTATCTTTATAATTTAACGCTCTCAAAAGTAATAGTGAATAATTTTTTACTTATTTACATATTAATGAATTTAAAGAATATTAAGAATAAATAAATATTTTATTTAAAAATATGGAATATAAAAAAAAATACATATTAAAATAGATAATATTAAATATTAAAATAAAATTATATTATTTTATTTATTTTAATTTGAAAATAATTTTGTGTATAAATACGATGAATAAAAATTTTCTTTTTTTTTTTGTTTTTTAATCTGTTATTGAAAAAATTATATATAATTTATTATATACAATTAATTTACATACCTACGATCCAGGGCAAATCATCTTCATAATCCATAGTTTTCATGTTTTCGTTTGAATTTTCACGTTCAGCATTGGCAAGTCTGTTTTCGTGAAATGTATGTTGAATCGCGTAAAGAATTTCTAATCCGTCCAATTTGGCATTATTGTCGATATCATGAACTCTACGATTAATATAGCAATTGAAATTGATTTCAATTTATAATACATGGAATCATTAACATTATTAACATTTATTCAATCAATAATTTTTATAACATGTAATCATAAAAAATTATTAAATTTTTTAATGATTCATATATATATATATATATATATATATGAATTCTTTGATAAGATAAAAAATTTTCATGAGATAAAAAACTATTATATTTAACAGAAAAAAATAATCCACATACATTCTTGATTATGTAAATATTATAAATTTTATACAACATCAATAGTTGTTTAAAATCAAAAACGAACTTATTATTCAACTCAATATTTAAAATACAAAAATTTTTTTTATAAGATATCGGATATATTCGGATTATATCCGGATATATATCGGATTATTTTTAAAAAATTTATAACATATAAAATGAAATGAAAAATAAAGATATTATTTATAATTTATAATTTATAATTTATTAATATAAACATACTTAAAATAGTGGAATTCGATCTCCTGTTCAGTCATATTCGAAAAGTCCAATTGGTCCGCCATTGATCCTATGTCTTCTTTTAAATGGCTGGAATTTCGTTTTTATATTTCGAATTTCTGTAGCATTATAGATCGAATAAAAAATATGAATAATGCAAATTATACTGAAACTAAATAATTTATGATAATATATAATATATAATGTACTTCATGCATATTTTAATCACATAATTGATAAACTTTTGTGTTTTTAGATATTTGATTGTAAGATGATAATGAGCAAAAAATTGTATTTTAGTAATTATATGCGTACTCAATAAATTTTCAAAATCATTTTTTTTTAATAATTTTTTAAATTTAAAAAATATCAAATTTTTTACTTATTTTCATATACGAAAATTTTTTTTAATTATATATTAAGAATTTGAAAATTTAAATTAATTTAAATGTGTTTTGTAAAGTATAATATATATATAAAGTATAATATATATATCTTAAGCTGCATGTTCACTAAAGCAACAAGGACATATTTTTGTAATTGATGTAAAGTTTGAAGAAACAATTGAATAGAAATAAAAACAATAAAAACAAATATTTATATAATCTTATGTATTTTGTTGCTTGATTTACAAGATATTCCCATAATGCGACTTATACAAAGTGTTAATATATTCGTGATACATCTTGCACGGTTGATCCAAAAAAATTGGTCAAATACAAAAATGTCAAATTAAAAAATATATTTTATTAATAATATATTTAATATATCATTAATAATAATTATAATTCATTTTTTTTTAATATATTCAACTGTTTTTAATTGTTTTTACTAGTTTTGATATTCTGGCTATCGATTTTTTCATTATTTCATACTTAATATTTTTCCATTCAATTTATAAAAGTTTTTACAAACATATTTTTAATTTTGAATACTTACTGTTCTTAAGTTTGTTTCTAAATGATTCCATAATATTACTTATAAATTATAAATATCATTTTATAATAATTTACATTGTATCTCAATTCATAGACATAATGGTTATTATTCACTTATTTCTGAACGTTGATGTATGATCATCTAAAATTTCTGAAATACTATTATTGAATAATAATTATTAAGTTAACAATAATTTAAAAGTTATGAAAAATATGAATATTTGATAAATATAAAAAATTTCGAATATTATTAATTTAATAATAAATCATCATTGATTTCATCATTAACTTCATTTTTTTTTTACCATTAACATAACAATAAATATTATTATAATTATAAGGAGCAAGTCTTCTTCAACCTGGAACAAACTATTTGCTTACGTATAGATAACTTTAGTAATGAACATAATTTTAAAATCAAAATTTATGTTTTTCATATTATGTTGGACTTTAATATAGGCAAAATATTTTCACAATTTGACATTTGTTGGATATTTTTTAAAAATAGTAGCATACAGCAAAAAGATCTTCATCGTTGTTTCAACGAGGATACAGCTTTAGGCATTACATTTTGTGCGAAAGCCAAATGAAAATACAATAAAGACTTTTTAGATGAGAGGTTAGTAATTTATTCAAATTTTTGTAAAAATTTTTTTTAAAAAAGAAATCCAATGCAGTTAAATTCGAAAAACATGAAAGATATTTAATACAAGAAATTAAATTGAGGATATCAAAAAAAAAAAAAGAATTCTATAACAATGGAATAAATAAAAATCTAATGGTGAATACAAATCAAAAATTTTTATATTATGTGCACATAAATATTTAAAAGATCATTACAGAAAAAAATGAATATTATATTTATAATTTTTTTGTAATATCTAATAAATGTATATAAATAATAATAAACAACAATAATATTAAATATTATATGTCATAATTTACTAAATATTACAATATGTATATGAGAAACATTTTTTATTTAAAAAAATCAAAATTTTATATTATTTAGAATTTTG